TAGTTCACATGTTAAAGCACGTCTCCGCGCTGTTCCAGAATACCTGAGAATGCAGAAGAACAAGCAGATGATATCTATGCAGTCACTATGGGGAAGAAGAGCAACACTTCCAGGGAAAGCAACTGCACTTGGAAAGACCTCTGGCATTATACTTTGCTATGTCTAAGCCATAAGAAAGTATGGGTAACCTTTTTTCTAGGTAAGAGGCCAAGTGCTGCAACATGGCAGGCCCCCCCAGGAGAGGTCACGCTTCCTGTTTCTAGCATCCAAAGCAAGGTGAAATATCCACATATTCACAAGTGCAGAGGGACAACAGTCTGATTTTCTTCATACTCTACCCACTCCACAGCCAAAAGAAGACACTGTAAAGCCCCACTCGAAAACATGAGGTATGCATGGGCTTTCACCAGTGCTCAGCAGGAGCCTGGAGCTGCTACCACTGAAGTCAAACTCAATTTTCAGCTTGAAGGGCAGCCCAGTTCCCTTCTCAAAGTGGAAACGGGACTTGCACAATGCCATTAAACGCATCATCTGAATGAAGGTGTAGAGTTGTTGTCACTGACTGCTGCACTGCCCCACATTTCCCCTGCTCAGATAAAGCTTACACCAGCCGCTTATCTGTTCATGGCGGTCCTCTTGCCTCGTTCCCTCGGCTGCTGCCAGAGCAACTCAGAAACGATGCTTTCAAGGGCAATGCCTCATGGGCTTGGAGCTTAATTACAGATTTGGTCAACTCTCACCTCCTGTCTGGGCCACAGTCATCTGAAGACAGATTAGCCTAGGTCCCTAAACCCTTTTGAAACTGCAGCAGCTCAGACTGGCTTGCAGAGCCTGGTGTGTTTGCACAGAAGTACTGAGCCAAAAAGTGTTTAGAAAAAAAAGGTGTTGGAGCAGCCAAATTTGCCAAGCTGATCTAGACAGGATGCTACAGATGGGGACTACAGGCAGCAGATTTCCACACCAGCCCTGGGAAGGCATCACCCTGTGCAGAAAAGGTGCAGTGGAACACTATTTTTTTTTTTCAGAGAGGGATCCTGTATACCAGCGCAGCTAATGGTCCTCTCTGGGAAAATGTACTGCCAAAGAGGAAAGAGGCTGTTAACATGACAGAGGTAGTAAAAACCTTGACCCGAACAGAAGCAGGACCAGACCCTGCCTGCTCGTGGTGGATGGGAATTTTGACTTGGCAGAGCAATAACTTCTCCAACAAAATCCTTCCTCTTGTCAGGTGAATCGCAGGGAATATTTGGCAGTAGGCAGCATCATAAAGTGGCCATAAATCAGGGGAGACAATGTCCTGTAGGAAGAAGGTAGAGCAGGCAAGAATGTAGAGATAAAAATCCTTTAAAAAATCACAATTAACAAAAAACTGTGACTCATGCTGGAAAAATTCTCTCTGTGAAAAACATTATCTACAAACCGTCTCCCATTTCCTACGGAAATATCAAACAAGCAAACTATTTTAAGCCCCGACACATCTTAGAAAATAGGACTGGGGGGAGGTTGTGGAAAAATTCATCTATTTTGACCTTCCACACCATGGAAGGTCGCAAACGCTGGCTCAAGACCTAGGATATACACCACAATCCTTTCACCCTCTCTACTCCCTGAAAGCCACTTTTTAACAAGATGTACATATTTGTGTCCAGAAAGTAGCCCTCTGCCACTGCAGGGGACGATATTTAAAAGTCTAAATCAGCTAAGGTCAAGGATGGATACTCTGGTGCAGAAGCCTCTAATTGCCAATACCCAGGTGGCAAGATTTGTCTTTGCTTTGTCTTTCAAAGGCTAGTTCCTTGCCAGGAAGAGACTTTCTATATATGCATGACACAGGGCGAGGGGCAGTTTTTTGTTGCCTCCAATCAATTTTTTTTTGAAGTTCTATAAAAAGCTCCCTCCGGTTCTTTGGAAGATCACTTGAGATGGAAAGGTCATCCATAATGGGTAGCTAGCTATAAATGCAGATACACAGTACACAGTTATTTTGAGCAACTTTTGCAAACATGCACAACATTGACCTAATAGCATCTCCATTTCACCCTGTGAAAGTCCAGGCTTTTGTTTAGTGCTACAAAGCTCAAATGCTTGGGGGACTGGAGGGACCTTAACACTCAACCTACGACCCTGTCAGTGTTGCAAACAGGGCTTGGTTTGAAGGACAAAAGAGGGGGAACTGATCTGGAGCAGCAGGTTTCCTTCCCAGGCTGATACAAACCTGGCTTCCTACCTTGGTTTGTAGGAAGAAAGGGGCTGATGCCAGCACGACGACTGCAGCACCTTACATGCTCCTTGCAAGACAGAGCACAAAGATCTTTGTGACTGGCATTGTCTGACACAGACTGTAAAATAAAAGTCTGTAATGATTTTAGCTTAATATATACTTCAATCAGGAACAACGATGCCAAGCAGCATCTAATTCAAGTACTTGTAGGAAAGCAAAATTTATAGCCTTGCTCTATCTGTAAAATGCATTGCACTTTTGAGAAGAACAGATAATCCTAACAAAACAAAGATAATAACAACTCCGTGTTCTTTAATTCAATGCTTGTAGCTGATTTAATAATAGATTTTCAATCCACTTCTTTTTTGCTGAGACAACTACAGTCTGATTTAGTGAATCTCTTTGATTTGTAATCCTGATCGTTATATTATTAATATGCCCTTGATGCAAAGAGCAGGATAACTTAAAAAAGTGATCAGCTATTTTGCTTGGCATTTATGACCTTGGTCAGAGGACACATTATTTACAGGAAGAGTTTTCTGGAGCATCTGCAAGTAAATCAGCTCTGAAACGCAGCTTAATTGTTCAGGGCAAAGCGCATTTAGTTTCAAATTCCCAGGAACCTCCAGCTTCAGACACAAAGCGCGTTTCCACAGATGGACGCTGGCATGTGGAAATGCCACCGTGACTACCGTTCAGCTGACCTTTGGTTTAGGGCCAGCTGCCAACAGGAAATGCCAAGCTGTTACTTACATTCGTTCAAAAGAAGTGAGAAAACTGAAGAGATATTTAAAAGCGAAAAAAAAAAAAAGGGAAGAGGTATGGAAACTTCTGCCTCTGGGGACCTAGCAGAAAATAAAAATCCTGCAGAGCCCAGCAATCTCCTGAGTCCTACACCTGGGAAAATACTTCCCGAGCTGGCGAGAGCAGGAGAACATCCCTTCTCACTGCAGGACTGCCCTCAAGCCCCAACTCACTTCAACCCGGCACTTGGGAGGATAGGCGCAAAGAGATGCCATACAGCATCATAGGGAGGAATATCCTAATTCTGATGTGCCCAGGGCCCCCCAGGTAGGCTGGGAGCAGGATGGAGCCAGCAGAGGAGCCTCTTTGCAGGATCTGGCCAGGCTACGTCCTCAGCACTGCAAAACAAGCGGGTTTTGGCTTTAGCTTTACTGCTGGGCAGTACCCACTCTCCTACATTCGCAGAAAAGACAGAGCCTGGGTTTTGCACTTAAAAGCGAGTGTGGAAAGCAGTGGCAATTCCAGCTGGAGCAACACCTGGAGTTCAAAATGTCTTTTTTTCTTTTTTTCTTTTTTTTTTTTTTTTTCCCTAAAAGCAAGCACAGGAAAGAATTAGGAAAGGAAATGTAACTCCCTGAAACCAGGCACTGGAATAATATAACCACTCCAAAGATACAGGAAAGCATCTTCCAGAAACAGGTTAACAGCTTCAGAAAGGAATTATCCCATGACTTGGAATGCATTTTATCGTTCCCGCAGTGTCACAGCAGGAGAGTCACTCCACGAATTGTCTCAAAATCATATCCAAGGCAAAGCAGCGTGAGTGACACGTTTCAGCAGCATCTCTGCTTCTTCCAAACAGGAGTCATTTTGTTGTTTTGCTTTGTTTAATTTCAAATTTGCTGTCAGCTTTCTGGGATTCTGGGGTTTGTTTTTCTGTTCTCACGAGTCACTCAGCACTCTAGATGGGCCTTAATATTCACAAGAACTCAAAGAAGCCAAGACGCTCTGTGGTTTTGAAGCCTCTAATGATGGACCAAACCTGGGCACTGGAGGCTTCTCCACCACCTCCAGCTGAGGGACTGGGTTCCTCCCAGTTTAGGGGAAGGGTTGAAAAAATAAAAATGGACCAAGAGCTCAGCTCCACGTGCCCGTCCCTTCCCATACATCCAGTGTGGCACCATGGAGACGCTCCTGGGAAGCCGCAGCTGCCCTGGGATCCACAGGGAGAGGTATGAGTACAAGGCAGGAGGATTAAGGCAGCAGCAGAGGTGGAGATAAAACTCTAGCCAAAGGAGACAAGGGCTTTTATAAACATGCCGAAAGATAAAAAGTCAGGAGGAAGCACATCCTGGAAAACCCATTAGGGCAAAGGACAGAAAGACATAACTAACAAGAACTGCTGACAAATGGCTCAGGTTTTACAACTGCTTGCTTAGAACAGAGAGGGTAGCAGCATAAAGGAGACCTGCAAGGGCATGTCCTGCCCAAAGGGGTTCCGAGCACTTGCCAGTGACTCTGGGAAGAGCAAGAGCTGCTGGGTGTCACACAGCTGTGATTCCTTATGGCCACATGGGAATACACATCCCTCCTGTGATTCATGCCCCCAGACTCCTCCTTGCAGAGGTGCCAGGCTACACCCGTAGCTTCCCTACAGCCACACGTGCATCCTCCTGTTTGCATTGACACAAGCACGCACCCAGGCCAGGGGAGGCCAAGGTCCACATCCCCCTGCTCTGTTCGAGGAGGGATTTGACTCAAAACATCCAGCCTTTACGGAGAGACTTGAACTCCTGCCTACAGTGGTCAGAGCCAAGTCTTTTTGGCTACAGCTTTCCTGAAGCCCCTGGTGTGAATGGCCTGTAGCCATTCATCCCCCCCACGCTGCTGCATGCTTCTCATGCAGACAGGAGCTTTTACTTTCCCATTTTTAAGCCCAACAAGTCACTCAAAGCAGACGACAGGAGCTTGAATGGCTGAGCTGGAAGAGACTGTCAGTCTCTGACCTTGAGTGGAGACGAATCTGGCAGCGCACTTACCTTTTAAGACAGGAAATAACTGTGTCCTTCCATGGATGCCTTATGCCTGGGGACAGAGATGCTCAGCCTGGCTGGATTTCACTGTCCTGTGTTTGCAGACTGATACCTTACCTCCTCTGGGAAATAAGACCCTCAGCCAATATGTTCAGTATCAGCACAGTTCTTCTGTAAGTATGTTGTAACTACTCTTAACACTTAAAATATCTTGTAATTTACAGCCACCTTCCTAGACCCAAGCTTAAAACAGACCTATATCATGAAAACAACAGTGGGCTGATAGGTACCTTAGAAGCATAAATGTTTACTTTGCACTGAAAACAAATTCAGCCTTATCAACAGATACAGCTCACATTGCTTTGTGTGAAGGATGTTGCATCATTTGACTACTGCCATTAAAAAAATGTACTAATACACATGTAGTATACGAAAAAAGTGCCTTGTGTGCTGCCTGGTACACAAATTTAGTGCTGCAGTATAAAATGATCCTGATACAAGCCAGATTTTCCCCAAATACCACAATCCCTTGTTCCCCAACAAGTTCCAGCAACTTCCATTAGAGCTGTAAAAGACGGTATAGCCCAGGCTTTCATCACTTGCCTATGTTTAAGCACATGAGAAATCAATGGGATCGCTTGATGGTTTGAAGCTGACTGTCTCCCTCCATGGGGGAGACTCCGTCTCTGTATAATTTACTAGCACGTGGGGAAGACATTAGTGTCCTACACATGAAAAATGAAATTCAGACCTGACCAAAACTCAAGGCATTTGGCCATTCGGCTGCATTTCTTCTCTTTTCCTTTGCAAGGGTTCTTCTGAAGTTGTTTTCTCTGTGAGCAAAGCCCATTGCGAGCTCTGAGTGCAAACATATGGGCTTCAGGATATTTTACCTGTAATAACATGTTGTGCTTATTTTTAGAGGAATGTGAAAACACTCCTGTGAGAATCAAGTCAAATAATCAGGGCCAGTCTATCCAGAGATGAAAATCATTGGGAAGTGAACTACATCTGTGAGTGAGCCTTTGCCATTCCTGCCTGTCCAAACAGATCAATCAGCCCACCCTCGTGCTGTTTTCCAGTGCTACCGCTCCACAGCTTCATTCACACGCTGCTTTTGCCTAAATTGCGCTAATCAGCTGGTCAGATAAAAGTTATTACAAAAGTTGGAGAAGTATAAATACACAGCTTCGTCTCTTACCTTCCGCTGAGAAGGAAACCGATAACAACAGCCAGCAGAATGACTCCCACTGTTACAGACACAACAATTATAGGAATCTGGCTCTGGTCGCTGGATGCAGCTACTGCTGAGATGAGAAACAGAAAATGGAGATTAAGGTTAAAATGATAGTCAGCACTCACATGAGTCTTTCTAGCGAGGCTGCCAGAGAGGTTTCAAGTCTTACCCGTTCATTTCTTCTTTTACGGTTTGAGTTTTCCCCCTTTGTTGTCTGTTTCTAGTTTGGAAAGGAAATGGGTGGAAAGAAACCAAAACCACATGCAAAACCAAGCCAAAACCCCAACAAAATTGCATCTCATCACTGAACATAGAAACCAAAGTGTTGCAGAATGCAGCCTTTGAGTTTGCAAACCATGTTTACTGGATTCCTGTTTGTATTACTACGTTAGCTGCATTAGAAATCACAGAGATAAAATATGAAAACCCAACAGGTTCCCATTTGTAGAGAGAACATTTATGGAATGTTATTGTTAAGAGACATAAGCAAGATCTCCGAGACAAACCTGTGCTTCAAGAAGCTATAAACAATTAAAAACTAACTGGCCTCTATATCACATGGCCAGAAGGCACCCACTGTAAAACAGCAATTTGCTAAGACACATACACTTGTTGGTCTTTTTATCAGCCAAGCAGCAGAACTCTCCCAGCCCATGCCTTGTAAAGAGCCCTCCTGCCAAAAGGCAGCAGATGAGTCCTGCGATAAAGGTGCCAGCAGAAAGGTCAGGAAAGCTGTTCAAGATCTGGGTTTTGCCACAGGTTAAGTAAGAGCAGGTAAGCAAGCTCCTGCGGCCTGTAAATTGGAAATGCTAACATCACTCTTATCTTGTTTACCTACTTTGACTGCAGGGTAAGGAACCCATCTCTCCTCAGGGGTTTGCATGTGGGGTTCCCCAAGCAGAAACCAAAGCCTCCTCACCCTGCCCTGTCCGCTGCCATCTTATTTAGCTGCATATATTTAACCACCCCGGGGTACAAATCTGGCTTCCTTCCCGCAAAACCAGCTCCCCAGCGTAGGGGCTGCTGCTGTGCAGGGAAAAACCTCATTATAGCTCCTACCCTCACGCCAGCCCTGGATGAAGCTTCATCCACCCTGGGGAGCAGGAGGAATTGACTGCACACTGAAGCAGCCTTTAACTAAATGATTGAAGTAAAAAGGGGTCCTTAGCACAGGATTAACTTTATGGAAGCTATAAAATAATGGAATATAGTCCCACATTAATTGTTAAAAGAAAAGAAAGACGAAAAGGTATGGCATTAAACATTGATCTGCAGTGGGTTTCAAGTAGCTCTTCATACGGCAGCTCAACGGCGAGCGGCGCGGATATGCTACAGCAATGTAAATGATTTCAGAAGGATTGCCTGCGATACATTAAATATTTAATGTTAACTGCTCCAAACCCATGCCATCATACAGAGATTTTATTAGCCTCACGAATTTATGGAGGCTCCTTAGGATGATGTTTTATTGCTTTCTTGACAAAATAATTAAAAAGAAAAACATTTAAAGGAGAACATTAAGCTGTGACTGGTGGTTTTTAGCACAGCTCGAGGGATAGGGAAATGAGATAAATCCTGCCATGATCTATAGCAGCTAAAAAGGAGGAATTCATAAGCCGAGCTGGGACCCTGCTGCCATTTAAAGCCACCGGGGGACATGTGTTACCCCTCCTCGACTTGGTTACGTGTTTGCACTCCCACCCGGCTGACCAGCTGGATTAGCTCACCTATGCAGCCTAAAACCAGCTTTCGGCAAGGTTAGTGTTATCAGTGCTAGACAAGCTCGGTGGCATTTGGAGAACAGCAGCAAGTGGTACAGCCAGCAACAGCTTCCACCCAAATAAAAAAGTTATGCTGAAAAATGCAGACCTCACTGCATCACAGCGCTTTGCAAAATTGCACATGCAGGCAGCAATATGTAAAAAAAACCCCAAAATTTGGAAACAGAGAAAAGTAAAAAACAAGTTACAGCTTCCCGCCCATTGCATTTCTCAGGCTGTTTCATATTTTGTCCAAGTGTATTAAAAATAACTTTACAGAAACCTTGTGAACTGGAAACAAAACCTTGTTTGGTCCAAATGATTTTGGAGGCTGGTTTTGATTCTCACAATAGTCACTGAAAGATTTTAATTTCTGCTTGAATCAAAATAATTTGCTTTGGCTCTAACAAGAGGTTCAGATCTGAACTCCGATGTAGCAGCGAGATTTTGATCTGTGCGTGCTTTCAGATTTTCCAGGATGTACAGGAAAGCAGTGAGAGTCTGGTAACACTCCTGGCACTAATATTGACTTTATATAGGGCCTTGGGGAAAAAAAAAAAAAGGCTTTTTAAAAGGTTTTAAATGCGAAATGGGGATGCATTTTTGCAAGATACTAAGGTTTACATTGCATTTCAATTCTACCAAGTGTTTAAACATCTGGTTAAGTCCTGCTTCAGCCAGAGCTGAAGTCCAACAGAGAAACAGTTCCCAGCTCCCAGACTGGGGACCATGCAGTAGGTATTCCTCTGACTATGCCAGCAGATCCTTAGTATTGGAGAAGTACCTACTCTTCTGCCTTTAAAATGCTAAAAAGACTGGGGTGCAGGTATGACTAAATGACTCAAGGGGTTTAAAGTATTTAAAGACACTACGATGTGACATCCTCAAAAAAACCTGATTAACACAGATACTGACATGAAAGGCTTTATGGAAGTGCTATTTTTTGGACCAGGATCATAGGTACTGATGGCACTGGACCAAATGTACATATATTTTGTGTGTTATTTATTAATAGTCTAGAACACTGTTCCTCAAATGACTCTAAAATAGAAACTTTCCAACTGCAAGCAAAATTTCCTTAGTATAATACAGAATAATTTTCAGGGTAACGTGATTTTGTTGCTACTTACAGGGCACAATTAATTGTTAATACAATAAGAAATACATTAAATACAGCATTCTTATTGCATTAATGATTGCATCGTGATGCAATTTGCACTGTATTAGTTCAATCAGTGGCTCCACAGTTACATCTCCATGTGCATGATTCCTGTAAAATCTATTACATCTTCAAAGGTAGCATGCATTGAAAAGACAGCTTGGCACCTTCTCCTCAAAGGTGATGAATTTTAAATGAATTGGAGTAACAGTAATCGAAGTATTGATGAATTTAAATTTCCAAGGAAAACATACAGAAAATAGTCCCTTTCCCACAGGAATGAACAGAGTATTTCCACCACAAAATTTCTCTTCCATGCAAACAGCATAAAAAATTAATAAATGACAGTTGTACAAACGGGAATAGATAGGACATATTTTCTGAGGGAGAAGATTATCTTTGACATGTCTGCAAAAATTTGGTAATTGGGACAAAAACAATTTCTCCACAGTTGTGCCTGAACGCAGGGGAAAGAGCAGCTGAGCCTCTGAGTGCCTCGAGAGTTCACCCTACCACAGAATCTGCTCCAGAATCCAGACTTGGAAGATAAGATTCATTAAAAAAAAAAAAAAAAAAAATTCAAACCTCACAAATTTGTAACAGGCCAAGCAGGAGTCCTGCGCCTGCAGTGCACATTTTTCCCATTTCTGATCACAAGTCAAATTCCTTTCCTCAAGGCTGTGGCATTGGCAGCCAACAAAAACCATCTTTCAACTTGACAGGAACTTACACCAAAGGATGCTAGCGCTGGTTCAATTCTTCCCCTTGCAGAGAGGCATCATTTCAGTTTTTTCCCCCAGATGCACATATTAAAGAGAGCTCAGCATCCTCTGCAGACAGCCATTAAGAGGTGTGGAGGAGCAGGTCTCACCCCACTCTGTCCCTCCTGAAGAGGAGATCCCTTGTCCTCTCTTTCATCAGCTCTCACAAATACCAGATTTTTCTAAGCAGGGAATGCTATGAATTTCTGGAGCCTGAAGACCTGCTGACTTCACCTCCCACCTCATCACGAGTCGAGGAAGCGAGGACAGATGTGTTAGCCTGTGCAGTACACTGTCATGATGTGCCTGATGTTTCCAAAGTCAAGGGATGAGGCCAGGACAAGGAAGAGCTCTCCATAAAGGTATTGATCCCCCGGGTCATTTCTGGTAACTGTTCCAGAGACACGGGCTGACAGTAATTAAAAGGACTTACACACTGGGCTGGTTTCAAACTCAAATCTTCGGCTGAAGCCACCATAGCCAGCAGCTGTCCGGGCTCGAATCTGGAAGACGTAGGCCGAGCCTGGTTTCAAGCCATCTGCCGTAATCGTTGTCTCTTTGGATTTGATGATGGTGTAGCTTGTCTCCTGGTCCTTTTCCCAGCACCCCCACAATAAAAAACAAAGTTCAAACACACAAATAGTGGCTCTCAGAGAAGACAGACTCTTAACAGCCCACACAGCAATGTTACAAAGATGACTGAAATAGGCATTTTTGAGGATTACTTCCTCAACATGCGCCCCCTCCGCCCCCCCCCC